ATTTCCCAGACTCTACAAAACACTCTAAGAAATGAATCAAAAGTCAAATGGAAAAGGAAGCATTTGTCAAACTGTTGGATTTATAATTTGAAGCAAGAATAAACTTCACAGATGCAAACCTGCTGAAAGAGCCAGATAAGGCAGCAAAGAGGCCACACATCCCTGCTTCAAGACTTGACCATGTACGTTTTTATTTCCTTTGGCGGATACTCTCTGGCTTTTTGCATAATTCCACCGATGTTTTTCAGGTGAAACTCGGAATATTAGAATATCTTTCGAAAGTTCATTTATTTCTGTTATTCAACTGTAATGAGACTAGATGCAAGTTGGCCATTTTATACTCACTACTGCCCTCTCTGGTCATACGTGTAATGGCACCTACTATATGATGGCACTTGGGACCGAAGTGACACGGTTTTGAGCGGCAGGATCTTGGAGGCAGTTGAGGCGAACAGGTCTGAGCTCATTCTACACATTAGGACATGGCTGGAACATACATCATTTTGACATTTGGAATCATACAGCCTTTGTTTGTTTTTATTTTTCTGATGATTATCATTTATTAGTTTCACATGTTAAGTTGAAGTACTGAAGTCACTTTTGAACGATATTAACATTTTCCGAGTTTCACCTGGCTGTACATTTACGTAGTTTCATTTTGTCCTGCGTGTGTCTAAACTGCAGCTGGTTGCACTTGCCTCGTCTGAAGGACTCATACCGTAATATTCTGATGCCTTTAAGGTTCTTGATGAAGTGAAGAATCATTTCCAAAGGACAAAGGACAGCACGACTATGTCAAGAAGCTGAGAGCGATGGGACGTCTTCAAGCAAAAACTAATCTAGCAATTTATAAGCAGGCAATGAAACCACCAATGTCTCTTTCTGAAGGTAAGTCACTTTTATTCACTTTTTTTGTTTTGTTCTTAAGATGATTCAAGTAAATTAAAAAAAAATCTACACATTCATTTTAATTCCCCAGAAAACAAGCGATTGAGCTGAAGTGCCTCCCAAACCCTTCCAAAGAAAATGTTCAATGCATCAGACTGTTCCATCTCTTTGTGTTGGGTGTCAGTTTGTATCATTCATGGTAGTGTTAGGAATCAGCCAAAGTCTGGGATCGTGTCTTTAATTCAGACAAAAGACATGTTTTATTGTCGATGGTAGAGCACGAACACACGAACAACCAATGTTAGACAGCAAGTGGTAATATACTCAGGAGAAACAGAGTCCTCCAATCAGCAGCTGCCACGGTTAGCTTGTAGCTTGGCCTTCAGATAGACAAAACAAGGGAAAAGTACAGGCTTCTGCACATGTAAGAATGAAGTTAGAACTTTAACCACAGTTGCTTAAAAGTGTCATGAAATCACTACAGTAGTCCAGAGGTTTGCACTCGTTCTGGTTTCCCCATCACTAAAAACATGGACAGGTGAATCTGTGAGCGTGAATGAATGAATGAATGAATGGATGAATGAATGGATGAATAGATGATTGAATGAATGAATGAATGGATGGATGAATGGATGAATGAATGGATGAATGAATGAATGAATGAATGGATGAATGAATGGATGGATGGATGAATGGATGAATGAATGAATGAATGAATGAATGAATGAATGAATGAATGGATGGATGAATGGATGAATGAATGAATGAATGGATGGATGAATGAATGGATGAATGGATGAATGAATGAATGGATGGATGAATGGATGGATGGATGAATGAATGGATGAATGAATGAATGAATGGATGAATGAATGAATTAATGAATGAATGAATGGATGGATGAATGAATGGATGAATGAATGAATGAATGGATGATGGATGAATGGATGAATGAATGGATGGATGAATGAATGAATGAATGGATGGATGAATGGATGAATGGATGGATGGATGAATGGATGAATGAATGAATGAATGAATGAATGGATGAATGAATGAATGAATGAATGAATGAATGGATGGATGAATGGATGAATGAATGAATGAATGAATGGATGGATGAATGAATGAATGAATGAATGAATGAATGAATGGATGAATGAATGAATGAATGAATGAATGAATAAATGAATGGATGGATGGATGAATGAATGAATGAATGGATGAATGAATTAATGAATTAATGGATGGATGGATGTATGGATGAATGAATGAATGAATGAATGAATGAATGAATGAATGAATGAATGAATGGATGAATGAATGAATGGACAGTTGGAGGTGGTCAGTGTCAGTCTACCCGAGGGGGAACTGGACACATACTTGACCACTGCCAGGTGTGAAGTCGATGGAGAACAAATCCCTTACTCTGTGAAGCATTCTGGGTGACAATACAAATACCGGTATTAGGTTGTATTTGATGTGAAGAGTTTAAGAATCATTGTCGATTGTATTTTTATCTTATTTGTTGAAACTTGCCATAAGTATGTAGTTTATGTTTTGTTTTTTCCTTTCAGCCATCACAGGAACCAGGAATGTTTCTCCAGAAGCGACCTCTCGACGGGTCCTGCTCACTGACGAGGATGGCTCAGCTTCCATCTCACCTTTTCCTAAATCCAAGCTCCAGGAAGCCGTTCTCTACATGATGGCTTACTGCTACGTTTTCCATGTGGCATATCCCAAATGCATAACAGCCGTGTTGCTCGCCCTGCGGACAGAAGTGCTCCATGATCCCATCACGGACAAAGATGCAACCTGATGGCAGAGTTGGCAGCTTTTGTTGGGAAGGACACTCAAGAGAAACAAGAACGTTCTGGAATGCATTTGGTTATGGCTATTTTTTGTTTTGTTGAGAGCAATCTGTCGTTATTTTGTTATAAGGGCCGGAAGAATATTGTTATGGGTTTGCACTTTCCAATTATTTGGTAATCATTCAAACTCATCTTTCACTTTCTTGGTTAAAACGGCGTACATTTGTTAAAAAAGTTGTGCAATGGGTTTAATGTTGTATAATTATTAGTAAACTATTTTGCAGCAATCTGTATATACAGTATTGTTGATGGTCAGAGAAAGGCTAGCCTTTATTCTGTGCAAATATCTTACTGCACTGGCAGATGATTTAACTTAGAAAATACTGTTTTTTACCCCAAAACAATATAAAATTTTTTGCAGTGTGAACACAACGCAGGCAAAGTCTCGGTCTTAATCCTGTTTGATCTGAGAGATGCTTTTGTCGACCATGAGATTCTCTTGTGGAGAGTTATGGACTGGGTTGGTGTCTGCCCTAAGTAGGGTTAGGTTCTAATAAGAAGACAGGAAGTATTTCTTTGTTGAAACTGGAAACTGTGTCTCAGATCATATGGCCCTGACCTGTGGAGCACCACAGGGGTCGATCCTGGGACCTCTTTTGTTCAGTCTCTACATGCTGCCGTCAATACGCAGTAACCTATAATCACAACTATGCAGACGACGAATTGATTAGGTGTTTGGATCCCGAGTGGTTATTGGACATGGATCTTTTTTATTTGACCAAAACTTACACATCATAAAACATTGATTTAAGCTGATACAGAACGTGTTACATCTGTTGTGGTCCTCCACTTTCTTCAACCGGAGACAGAGCTCAAACCTGAAACAAGTTCATGTTCATAATTCTACACAGAATTCAGGATTTGGGGCGATTATTCATTATTTTTATAAAATAATGCACTTTTCTGCATTCTACTGCGTTTCAGAACAAAACTTCTGGTATTTACATATATTTTATATTTATAACTCAGTAAAACTCTTTTCTACCACCAGGTCCACACAGAAGTCACTCACACTGACCCGTCCTGCTCCATCTGCTGTGACCAGAACTTCTGTTTCTTATCTTCACTGTTATTATTACTATTGTTTGCCTTTTAGAATAATCTGTTTGTTTGTTTTGTTTGTGTGGTTGGAAGTGTTTTTGCTGCTGCTGGACACTTGTATTTCTCCTACAGGATCAATAAAGTATCTTTCTTTCTATCTGAATGAGACAGAACTGTTTTATATTAAAGATCTACTTTCTCTGAAACTAGTGGATCTAAAATACATATTATTTATAATGCAGATCATAGATTTACAAATATGACCTTAAATATGAAGCTAAAGGAGACAGGTTCTGAGGTGGAGTATGTAGTTTTTGTGACTTTTAGTGAAAAGTTGCAGATCTGTGAGAAGCAGATCTTAGAGTCTGTTGTGAGGAAGACTTTCACGTCCAAACACGTCAGCGTTTACTTTCCTGGCTCCAGATGAAAGAACCTCAGGTTGAGAATCTGATCAGATCTGATGATTATAGATCACTGTCGTGTTTCGTGAAGAGAACCTTTGTCTTTCTTTTCCTGGTGCTCAACACAAAATCCAGACACAATCGTGGCTTTTTCTCTGAAATGTAAACCATTTCCTCATTTATTAAAAAAGTGTTTTTCTGCAAAAGGCACTGAGGAAATATCCCTCACATTGAACTGACACAGTAAGACCCTGTGATCCACTATAAATATGTACCATGTGCAGCGGCAGGTTCACTGCTGGTTTTTACACGAGGCAAAGACAGAACATTGTAACTAACAAAAACAGAGTTTCAACTGTAAACTAACCTTCAAGTATCAAATTACACTTTCTGTGTCAGGCACGACACACGAGGACTCAATAAATAACACATTCATACACATTTCACTGAGAAATGATAAACATGAGGTCATAAACGCTTTTATCTTCATCTGAGCACAAAAAACCAGATTCATTTAGACATTTAGTTTTGTTTCTGGAACGGTTTTTTTATTTCCTCGTTCCAAAGGAGACATTTCTGTGTCTTTTTAAAACATTTTTTAAAAAGACATCATTTTTCTTTGTCCCGTTGGTGGATCTCGTTTCAAAGCAGGATGTGCTCAAATGAAGATAAATTTTTCCAAATTAGAGCATTTATTTCCTCATTTTTCAACACTTTTTGACCTTTTCACTTTTCAATTAAATAAAAATAAATATAAATAACAATAAATAATAAATAAATAAGACAAATATGTGGATCTCTAGAGTTCCGTGGCCCTTTCTTTGAGGATGACGGTGGGGTTGATGTCTCCGGAGTGAGACGAGCTGGAGTTGATGACCGCGGCCCCTGTGTCTTTTACATCAGGCACCTGGAAGGACGCCACGGGACAGGGCCCTCGCACGTTGTTGCACACAAGCCGCTGTAAGGACGCCGTGTTGATGATGTCGAAGCCCACCTGGCCTCCGAACGTGCTGGGCTTCCAATACTCCGGGGAGCAGATGGCGTTTCCCATCAGGCCCTTGAGAGAGAAGGGGGCCCCCATCTCCACCATGGTCTCCCCGAAGATGGCGTCCTCTCTGGGCTTCTCGATCAGCAGCCCTGGGTACAGCTCCACCGCGTCCACGTGTCCGTACATCTCCTCTAAGATGGACGCCATTTCTGTATCGCCTGCGGGAGGAAGAGGGAGGACAGTTAAAACTGGAGCACAGAACTTTTTTGGATGAAGAAGAAATTTAGTAGAATCTAAACAACCTCAATACTTTTCATGTTTTTTAATATTATCAAACATTTGTAAACTTATTTTTTATCATCTACCTTCACTAAAAGCAAAACGGTTTTCATCTCATGAGATATTTTTTTTATATGAACTGAACTACTGCTGTTTACCGTCTGAAAAACTAATAAAAATACAAATGAAGGTTGTAATGAAGGAAATATAACAATAATACTTGAGTCAAACGCACTCAAGCTGTTTTCTAAACCGAGGGACACACGCTCAAGGGCGCTTTTTATTTAATTTTATGTATTAGTTTAGTTGACGGGGACATTGTGCATTAATACAGATTTTTGTAAATGCACCAGAATTAGCCAAGTAAGCTATTTTTCATCTGCAGCCCCTGGACAGGTGAACACAGTCTCCCTGAAGGCTTTATTGTTAAAGTTTTACTTCAAAAAGTGACAAAACATTAGTCAAAAATAGCTCAAATTTGGCAAAAAGTTTCTACATCTCCGGTCTCGACGCTAAATCCCTCTCCCGCCTCCAACGGGTCCAGACGCAGCAGTCAGACTTCTCACTGGTTTGAACAGAAGGGAGCACATCACCCCTGTCTTAGCGTCACTGCACTGGCTCCCTGTGCGTTTTAGAATGGATTTTAAGATTTTACTGATTACTTTTAAAGCGCGTTTAGGTCTGGCTTTATTATTATTATTATTATTGTTATTAAATTTGAGCACATTCTGACGACATTTTTAAGTTATTTGCCGATGGGACAAAGCAGAAAGATCCGTTCTTGAAATAATATTAATGGTTTTGTCCCATTGGTAAATCTGAACGGACTCCAATGAAGATAAAACGCAAGAAGAAATCATCACCTCACATTTGGTCATATTTTGCAAAGTAAATGATCAACAAGCCAACTTCCCCCAGTCTAATCTCATTATTACATGTCACCTTCAGGCTGAGTCCCTTCTACAGCCCTGGTCCCGTGTTAAGTCCGTCCTCACTGACTCCTCTAAGTCCAAACTAATGTTGTCCTGGTGTTTACGCTCAGCTCTGTGTGTTGACAACCTGCTTACTTTACCCTGACATGGTGAACATCTGTTTCCCTAATGCCTCTGGAAAAACCATCTCTGAGACTGTGCACGACACGGCTACTTTACTGCCTCGCTTAAAGGAGCAGACACCCATACACTGCAAAAACTGATGCAATATGAGGCGATAAAAGCTTGAATCCAGTGGTTTTTATCTTGATTAGAGTCCATTCTGACAAAATTCTCCAACGGGACAAAGCCATTTAGTGTCCAGATCATTTCGCCTTTCGCCTCGTCGGTAAATCTTGTTTTAAGGCTCAGTTAAAACGTGCAAGAATTAAGGGACATTTTGCCAAATTTGGGCAATTTTCACCACTTTTTGCAGTAATTTCAAAATCTCACACATTTTAGTTGAAAAGCAGTTTGCGACAAAAAGCTGAGGTCAAACTTGATCGTCTTTTGAACTTCTTTTAAGATAAGAAAAACTTTATTGATCTCACAATGTAAAAATGTACAATGCAACCATCCTAAAGCAGGGGTAGGTAACTTTTGGAATTGTTTATTGTTTATTATTATTATGAGTCGTTAGATTGATTTGCTTGAAAATCATTTACCGTCATTTCTGGACTATAAGCCGCTACTTTTTTGAAGTTCTTTGATTGCTGCGGCTTGTATAGCGATGCAGCTAATATGTGTATTTTCATTGTGACAGAGCGGTTGCCAGAGCAGAGTTTATAGACTCACAGTAGCCTCTCTGCTACATTACCACCTTAAAATACCACCTTATATTCAAGTGCGCTTATATATGGACCACATTGCATTTGTTTACATTTAGCTGGTGCGGCTTATACACAGGTGCAGCTTATATACGGGTGCGGCTTATATATGGACCACGTTGCATTTCTTTACATTTAACAGGTGCGGCTTATACACAGGTGCTGCTTATAGTCCAGAAAGCACACTAGACTCTAAACTCTAAACCACACATGTTTTAAATTAAATGTAATCCGCACTTTAACGACAGAAGAATCTCACCTGTCAAGTCTTGGAAGGAGCTGTAGGGTTTCATGTTGAACCTCTTGCGGTACTCGTTGAGAGACTGGTACCGCATTTTCCGGCTGTTTTCGATGGACTTGATGGACACGTACAGAATCGGGCCCGGGACATTCCGACCACCTGCGACCTGCGAGGGAAAAAACACCAAAAATTAACCAACAATTTTCTATTCCAGACATATTTCGGCCGTTGGAAGGAATGGTTTGACCCTTTAATGATGACAGATTAGGGCCCTTTAATGATGACAGATTTGGGCCCTTTAATGATGATAGATTAGGGCCCTTTAATGATGACTTTACATGAAATCTTACATATTTCTACTTTAAGTTCAAACAGCTTGATTCTCTTGATTTGACGGTTTGGTAAAGTCCTCTGCGATAACTACTGTTGTGATTTAGTGCTATACCAGAACATATTGACTTGAAATGTGACCGTCTCCAGCCCTATAGTCAGGATCGTAGTTCTCACCCGTCCTGCGATCTGCTTGGTGAAGGCGTCGACCAGGTTGCTGATGCCGTGCTCGGTGACCACGGTGGTGTTGAAGACGAACTGCTGGTAGCTGTAGTCGCGCTCCTCGATGTGGAAGGAGTCGGGCATGAGCGGGTGCCAGTGGTAGAGGGTGTTGAACTCGGACGAGATGCGGTTCTGGTACTGGAACTGCTGGTTGAAGAGCAGCTCGGGGTCGAACTTCAGCTTGAAGTTGTAGCCGCTGAGGTGCTGCACGTAGTCTTCGATGACGATCTTTATGGTTTCGCCTGCGAGGGGAAAAGAAACACACGGGTTGGCTTTCTTTTCACCATGGAAGAGGCACAAAAACCAAGAATGAAAGTTGTTTTAGTGCGATTTATCCATGTTTAAGTCTGTTTTATTCTCCCAGGACATCATCGCTAACCCTGGATCTCTTGCCATTCAAGGTTTATTGCAGGATTTTCCAAAATTATAGTAACAAAACTCTCTGGTCTTATTTGACGAGCACATATCACCAGAATGATTGACAACTGGGAGGACCAATAATCTTGATTTTCCACCAGGAAGTAGAAAATATTCCTATATACCTGTAAGACTGGCCTACTGTTTACAAGCTTAGTTCACTGGGATTGAGGCCACATTAAAATCTCGTCTTTTGTCGAAGGCAGAACCAAATTTCACGCGGTTGAATGTAAAAAGTATATGGAGGCAGCTTTTAACCAGTTCATCTGGAAGTCCTCTTGTAAACGCCTCGGAAAATACTGTCTATCTGCACCGTTTCTTGTTTTGAGCTCCAATACATGTTAAAATATGACATCACATCACCTTTAAAAACTGGTACTTCCTTATACCATCATGAAAAGTGTTGTTGCTGTTGTAAAAGTGAATCTGCGATCTCATTTTCACCTTTTAGTACATTTATTAAACTCTGAGTCAAAGATCATGTCTTGCTCCTTTTTGGGACCAATAACTGGGATTTTTTTAACGTTCATTTTTACCAGATTAGAGAATTTTAAAGATTAATTTAGAAAAGCAGCAGACTGGTATGAGGTGAACGGCTAGGAAGGATCTACAGGGCCGTTTAAGAATGTGAATAGGGCCCGATGTGGCTCCCGGACCGCACTTTGCCCCGGTCCGGTCTAAGTAATGCAATGAGTTTGGCAAGCAGTATTCACATCCTCATATAAATACAGGTCTATATTATCTTATCTTATGTGTTTTCAGCCCAATTGGTCACACTTGGGGAAAGGAAACCCTTTTTTTTTTTTTAAGTGCAACGTTCTCTTGAAGGAATTTTAAATAAATTGTTTTCACTGAAGCTTCTCCCTTTTCAGCCAACTCCTTCTCACGGTTTCTGCACTAAAATAAAACCTGGTGTGAAGAAGAAGAAGCATCATTCGTGTGAGCCCACATATTTTTGGCAACTTCCTCACTCACAACATTTGCAACTTGTTCCACTTTGACTGTGGAAACTCGCTAACTGAACGTAATGGATTTTCAAAATAGTCAGAAAATAAATTCAAAATCTCATTCATAAATCAAGGCTCATTTGAACATCTCTTTGTCTCTATAAGAACGTCATATTTGGCCCCCCATGTAAGACGTGGGCTCTCTCTGTAGAGTCAGTATGTGTAATGAAACCCACCGATGAGGATGAGTCTGGCGGTCTGGAACAGCCTCTCGTCGTCCCAGGTTGGATGGATTTCCCGCAGGACGTCGCAGACTCGGTTGTGTTCTCGGAGCCAGATGGTGGCGTACATCATGAGTCCAGGGACCAGGCCAAAGGCTTCGTGTCCCACTGCGAAGCGCTGGGTGGGGGGCACGTGGGGAGGGTAGTGCATGTCCACCCCCACCTCCTCCACTGTCGGGGGGTACATCTCGCCCTTCAGCATCTGAGGGAAAAAGCCGGGATTGTAAATACACTGCAAAAAATGATGAGGCATGAGGAAGATGAGGCGGTAATGGCTTGGATCAAGTGGTTTGTAAGATTCTCCAATGGGACAAAACCATTTAGTCTGATTTCAAGAACTGTTGCAGTATTTTCTCAAGCCACGGGAGACATTTCTGTATCTTTTTAAAACAAGATCATTCTGTTTTGTCTCATTGGAGAATCTAGTTTTAGGCTCAGTCAGAATGTGCTCAAATCAAGATACATTTTGCCATTTTTACTAATTTTTCCTTCCCTTTTTGCAGTGTAACGACAAGGCCGGTTGCTTTCATGATTCAGGTTTAAATCACAGAATTGTAGATATACTGTATATATAAAAAAATCATATATGTTTGTTTTGTCTGGGTGGAATGACTGGAGCTATTCACATGCGACAGGAGCGTCTGAGGAAGACTGAAGTTAACCGTCGAGACATGTCAAGGAAAACACTAACTTACTATTGTCTGGCATGGAAGAACCAAAGAAGACAAACTGAACTTTCCTAAACTATTGGTTTTGTCAGGTTTTAACAGAAAAAGTCAAATGTTTGTGCCTTCATCTGCAAATTCTGTTCAAATTGGCAATGCCTTCTCAGTGAATCCATTCTTACACTGCAAAAAATGACAATATATAAGACAATACACGCTTGAATTAAAGATTTTCATCTTAATTTGAGTCGTAAAACAAGATTTGCCGTTGGGAAAAAGCTGCTTAGTGATATTTCAAGGGAGACATTTCTTGATTTTTCTTGTATTCTTTTAACAAGACATTTTTGTTCGTCCCATCGGCAAATCTTGTTTTTAGACAGTCAAAATATTCTCAAATTCAGACAAAAACACTTGATTCAACCATTTAATACCTTATATTTTTTGGGGGGTTTTCTATGTGATACAAGATACAAGATTTGTATTGCTATTTGCAGTAAAACCACATTGGAAAAACTGTGCAAGACTACCCCAGTGTGTGTATGGGAGCCAGAGCGACCACATCCGGACAGACGTACCTGGTATTTCAGCTTTCCGTCCTTGAAAAGCCTCAGCTTGTGTTGTCTGTCCAGGGAGACTCCGTAAATGTGACTGAGATCCACCTGCGAAACCAAACCAAAAAGAACCGTGATTACTCTGATGTGTGTGTGTCGTTCACGGACAAGCTAACGTTGGCCTACGCACCCCGTGGCCCTGAGCCGCGGTGAAGGCCGGGCCCCGCTTCATGTCCGACTTGAAGAACTGGTGAGTGAAGTGTTGGGCGAAGAAGGCGAACATGAGGCTGGAGCCCTGAGGGTCCGGGATGAAGCGTCTGCGGACCAGGAGCTTCTCGGCCAACTCTTTCGCGTCGGGAAGTTCTTTTTTACCTGCGGAAAAACACATGAGTTTAACCCTGAGCACGGAAAAATATGACGGAAAATTAGGTGAAAGACGCTTGGATTGAGTGGTTTTTATCTTAATCTGAGCACATTCCGTCTTAAAACTAGATTCTCAAACGGGATAAAGTCATTTAGTCTTAATTCGAGAACTACTGCTTTAATCCTCATTCCAAAGGAGATATTTCTTGTATCTTTTGAAATCACTTTTGCTTCGTCCCTTTTGTGAATCCTGTTTTAAACTCAGTCGGAATGTGCTCAAATTAACATACATTTTTAGCCAAATTTTCTTCAGCACTTTTTGCAGTGTAACGAGACGGTCAGATGGGTCAGATTTTTGGAAAGCTTAATTCCATAACCAAATTTGGTATAGGTGCATATTTGCTTCTGTGAGTTATAATAATAAATAGGCAGTGGGAGTAAAAAGTCTTAAATCCTTTTTGAGATGTATTTTTGTAAATAAAACAACTGTCTACTTGTTCTTGTTTGCCATGGCTCGAAATAACGTATTCATTCATTCATTCATAATTCTTTAGTTTTTTATAGTCCAGTCAAGGCAGGAACGGACAGTGATAAATTACATTTTGTGGACAAATAGAAAAATAGATATTGTGCTTGGGTTTGGGTTTGTTCAAGTCAATTTACAAAACTGGATTAAACGTTGTCAAACAAAGCGTATTTTAGTAAAAGAAGAAAAAGAAGAAAAAAATCTCCGACAAATCTTTTAAAATACATTGAGTTTGTTCTGAGTTTTGTTCTGATTTTCCACTTCTACCACCAGATGGCGACGTTACGCACCTCTCGACCATCTCTGCCTTCATCATACACATTTATCCATATCATTTCTACTTGACAAATCTATTTCACAATCTAAAATCTAGAATATCAGTATAAATATCCATTATCTATTGTCCCGCCTGAGTCTCCAGACAGATAATTACATGTGCGCGCTTCCTGTGACGTCGTGACAACAAATACGCAGCTAGCTAGCAAGAATCCCAGCGGACAGGTTTGTCTGAGGGCTCACCTATCGTTCCCATGGGTGTTGGGCAATCCTCCGGGACGGGGGGGAGCGTGCGGGTGAAGTAGGACAGGTTTGAATAGGCCTCCCAGCTTTTGTAGCCGTAGTCTGCGTTGTAGGTGGGAGGGCTGTCAATCATGTGGGAGCGAGCTGCAGAAACCAGAGAAAAAGACAAAGCTTTATTTCAGTCAATTCAATGTGTTTTGTGCAGAAATCACAACAGTGTCAAATGGAAATTAAAAAATACCCTAAATATAGTTTTGTTTTTTTCCGTAGCTGAATTTTGATGATTATGTAGTTTGACCAGCCCTGCGTCAGACCCTTTTAATCCGTAATTTAGGGTATTTTTTTTCAACTTTTAATCACTGTGGTATAGGACATTTTGACTCAAAGACAGCACAAGGGTTAAATAGCAAAAAGTGGTGAAAGATTTGACACAAATTGCTCAAATTTGGCTAAATATGTCTGAATTTGAGCACATTTTGACTGCATTAAAACAAGATTTTCCAACGGGACAAAGCAAAATCCTCTTGTTTTTAAAAATGCAAAAAATTCCTGTTTAACTCATATTCTATCATTGTCGATTCGCCAACACAGATCAGAGAATCAATCCGTTCAAACTCAAATGCAATGATAATGATGAGGTTTTTTAGGAATGATTTATTTGGGTTTAAAGCTGGGGTACCTAACTTTTTTGCGCTCCAATAGAAAGAGTCCAGTTCTGTCTTTTTCCTGTCAGAGATATTTGAACTTTTAAATACTGAGGAGGTCGTCTCTTTTTATAACTTTTCTGTCAGAAAAAGAGGATCTGAAGACGTGACATTGGTCAGAAAATACATGATGCAAAAACTAGAGATAGAAGCAACTGTTTTGGAATCTGGGAATTGGAACATAGTTATTTTGTTGTTGTTTCAAAGTTAGTTACTCCAGCTTTAAACATCGCTGCATATAAAACCGTATTTTTCAGATTATAAATGGTCCAATGGACAAACTATGACGAAAAACCGCGACGTAAAACCTGAAAAATGCAGTAATATTACACTTTTTGTCCATTGTATGTGGTAATATTCATCTAAAACGGCTTTGGTTAGAGACAGAAGTTCATTGTCTATGTCCAAACTTATACATTTCTGATCTCTTGAATTAAAGCTGAGGAACCTAACTTTGAAATTACCAAAAAATACCAAAGTAAAACCCAATCCATCCTCACTTCTCTCCAAACAGCTCCTATCACTACTTTTCACCTGTGTTTTTGGTGAGAAAGAGAGTCAACCAATCAGCTCTCAGTTTGTAAATGATAGAATGTTTTATAATAATTACAAAACAGGGAAATGGGCGGGGATAGAAGCGAGGTGAGACTGGCATTTTCAAAGCACGGAAGCCTAGACCGAAGGAAAAGAACTCCGAATCAATACAGATCAGTGCCAACACGGGCCAAAAACATGGGATTTTCAAAAAGTGAATCAATAATTTCCCAGTTTCCTCAGTTTAGGACCCATTTAGAAGCTGATGTGGTGATGTGAAGGGGCAGAGCTCAGAGCCAGACGGCAGGACTCAACACAGAAGAATGGGAGCTCTTCTATTCGTCGTTATCAATATTAGGGTTTACATTTACAAAGCACTAAAAATACCATGATAAGGATTCTTGACAGTGCGTAGCTTACATGTGAGGACGTATCTCATGATGGCGTCTCTCAGGAACGAGATCCCGTTGACGATCTTCCAGAATCCCTTAAAGTGCGTGAGGATGTAGTGCACGGTGTTGGGGGTGGGCTTCAGGGTCAGTTTGATCCAGGTCCGTAACTCAGCTGCAGAAAGAGATGAAGGAGTTGAGTATAATATCCCAAACCTCGCACATTCAACACGGCGAGACCGCCCCGAAGACTCTCCGACCCTACACCTCCCGCTCACTCTCTCTCCTTAACATACTGTACTTCTTCAATCATTCTTTTCTTAAACAGTTTCCAGGTGTTGTTTAAAATTAGACACACACACACACACACACACACACACACTTAAGACTTGGACCTAGAGTTCTGAAACTATCTCCCATTCAAATCAATGAAATTCTGAGAAAATCGCTAAAAAAAGTTGTATTTTTTGACTAGTAAGAAATGTATACAGTTTTTAACTTTAACAAATGCTAAAACTGGTGAATACAACGATCAGCATTGTACAAAAATACACTAATAACTGCTGTAAGTAAATAGTGTGTTGCTATGGTAACTAGTACTTGCTCCAAGCTAAGACTGCTCTGAATCAGTCCAGGACCAGGCCGGGACCAGCCCCTTGAGAAAAGATCCATAAAGTGCTGCAGTATGTTGGTTGCCAGGGCGACTGAAAATGGGTACGTTTTGCACTTTACGCTTAAATGAATGGAGCCGTCAAAACGACTGCTCTGGGAGTTAAAGGTAGATTCCTCACATTTAAATAATTTCACACAAACAATGATATATAAATAAACTGAGGACCATAGAAACTGAAAAAGTCTCAAAGTTATGAAAACATGTGTACCAGCTGAGTAAACGCACTTCCAAAACCAAAAGCCGTCAAAACGACTGCTCCGGGAGTTCTCGTGCTCAGTGTGTTTTTGTGAATGGAGCGGGTCTTACGTTGAGTGCAGTTCTGGCCGTAGAAGCCGGTCCGTGTGCAGTCGCATTCATAAGTGTCGGAGGCCAGTTCCACACACACGCCTCTGTTCTGACATGGCTGCGAGCAACATGGATTACCTGGCAACCCAAACAAAATCAGTATTTATCACAAAGAATATAAAAAAAAACAGCATTTATACATTTAACCAAAAGTCTTATTGCATTTTGAATTGGATCCCACATGAGTGATAGTAGTAGTACTTTATAGTAAAATAGTATAGTAGTTTAGTTTAGGCCTGTGTTAATATCCTATTTAAACATATACAGCCTGATACTACCCCCCCGTGAAAAATCATGGATGTTTAATACACTTTTTACACATTTTAAAGCCAACATCTACAACATACCATTCATATTCGCACCTCAAATTAGTAGAAAACCATATTCAAAGCCCATAATACCGCAAAAATTATTGTGACTTAACCAATTATTTTAAGTCCTTTCTTCACAATGTCACAAAACCATCCACACAATATACTTCAAAGTAATCTGTGACATCGTGAAGAATAGAATTTAATCTAATCTAGGTCCTTTGAAAAGCTCTATAATCTATTATTTGAGGAGATAAATATTGAGTCTTGTTCCAGTTAAATGATTAGGTAATTATGGAGAATAGGAGACGCATTAAGTGACCAATCAATCCACTGCCTCTCACTCTTTCAGATTAAAAACCGAGCTAAGTAAAAGTGCAAAAATGAGCAGGTGTAGAAGGTAGATGGTGCAGTAGGTGTTTGGTTCTTACCTCCTTCGCAGAGCAGAGATCCCAGTGCTAGAAGCGCTATAGCCGCGGTGAGTTTGTACATGCTCCAAATACTTTAGTCTGGCCTCTCTGTGTTCTGGCTCACGGCTCTTCTGGAACTGCTCCCTGTGGCGCTCGCGTTTATGTAGGGCACTAGGCAGGGGAGTGACGTCATGACCCCCCCCCCCCCCCCCCCCTCCCTCCTCGGTCCTCAATGAAGAGCGCATCAGAGCAACACGCATTCCTCCACATGGAAACACGCGATTCATAATTTACACAACTCCGCCAGTGACAGAGACTTTTATATATAGGACGATACTATTATAGGAATGTCATATATGGGCTCTAAATGTATGTGACTAGTATGTTTTAAAATGTGAATCATTTAATCTATTTACAAGTATATGCTTCTGAACCTGTACATTTTCAGTTTCACTCATTGAAGAAAGCAATGTATTTTATTCTGGTTTGGATTTTCAAAGATGTTGAAGCATTAAGAAAAACAAATCATGTGTTTTTGGGGGTTTTTATTGCCTAGTTTAAAAAAAAAATCTAGACTTGAGATGTTGTTTGATGGTAAGAGAGCTTAAAACCAAGTGAGATTTCTCTAAACTTGTTCCTTGTCAATGCAGGACAGGGTTAGGATCTAGGACACTCCACATTCCGCAAGATTTATTGATATTTATTAACATTTATGGACATTGGTCTCTGCCGCATATGGACCAATGTCTCTGTGTGTTTCATATCATTGCATGTTTAATTCTCTAATCTGTGTTGGCGAATCGACAGCTTTGTAAAGTCCTCCGCATCTGCTGTGATACAAACATACATTGAATTGAATTGAATGTAGTTGAACTGACAACAGTGTTCTCCATCTCAGTTGAGAAACACAAAAACTCATTCAAAAGTCCGATCGTGTCTGTAATCCAACGTAATCAACCCCTCATTCAACACAAAGTCAAATGTCAAGTTTCATTTAATCATACTGGCTCACAGATAAAAACAAATAGTTGGAGTATGGACTGTAAACCATTTTAACGAGGGGAAAAAAACATAATTATTTCATTGTGTGGCTGAACTGGAGGTAATTTTCCAGTATCACTAATATACCTTCTTCAATTCATTTCAAGGCTTAATACTTCAGGTATGACTGGGAAGTGATGTATCGAGTGGGAATTAGGGAAAGTCATTGTTACCGTGTGTAATATGATCTGAACAATTGCGCAACAAAATAAACAAACGTAAAAGTTCAGTGGGTAAGATTTTTCATTATATTTCAGTTTGATTCACTTCCGTTCATTTGTGGATCGCCCAAAGTCACAGCAGCAGTCGTGTCGGAGGACTTTACAAAGTTGTCGATTTGCCAACAGCAGATTCAAAACACAGACAATGCAAATCTGTCGAGACATGTTTTATTTTGATTGTGCCATCGAGAAATCTTGTTTTTAAGACAAAATATGGAAAATAAAACATTGATGCCGCCTCATTTTCTGTGTAGTAGTAGTAGTAGTAGTGGTGGTAGTAGTAGTAGTAGTAGTAGTAGTAGTAGTAGTAGTGGTCTCTGTGAAAGGCACTATACAGATGAACTTGACTTACTTTACTGCTGAGAAGGAAGTACTGGTGCTCATTCTGTCGCAACCTTGTATTGTGACATCACTCTCAGACCCATCACTTCTGACTCCATACTCAAACTATTCAGTCAAAAAAAAAAAAAAAAAATAATAATGTATTTTTTGGCATTTTACTGTGAGCCATAACGATCAAATAAAGGCTTGATATTTAACGTACTTATGTTAAAATACAGACACATAGCCTCCTTGGTCAGTCTGATGGTCTTACTAAACTCATGCCAATTATTATCATTAGAATAGTAGCACTAGAAGCAGTAGTAGCAGTAGAAGTAGCAGTAGTAGTAGCAAAGCAAAGGACGGTTTCTCACCCATCATCTGAACTTCTTTGCAGGTTTTCCTGACGTTTCGTTCTTCATCGAAAGAACTTCTTCAGGGAATGCGCGTTGGAGATTTATAACCTCAGAATTAATGTGTTCTGAAAATGGTTCCACTGCAGTAGTAGCAGTAGAAGTAGTAGTATAAGCAGTACTAGCATCATCTGTTGTCGTGAGTCTGCCGATTGAAGATGATTGTGTATTACATACTTTACCTATTAAAACTTGTTTGCACCCTGAGCCAAAGAAAATCCCTTGTTTGTGACTTCCTGTTACTTACAATGTCATTATATAAATTGTCTGACTGACTGTTGATTTTGTCGCCCCCTTGCGGACACACCGGGAACGACACCCTGCGCTCTGGGTCTCTGCAGTGGCTCCGACAGCAGCAGCAGCAGAGACCAGGCTGGAGGAGGAAACACTCTCATTCTCTGGACTCCACCGCCACAAACTGAGTTATTTTCCACGGACTTTTCCACTTTTAATCCCTCACCCCACATTGCGCGTGTTTTTGGTGCATTTTGAGGCCCCTCCTTCTGCAATGGGACGGGGCATGAACACTTTTGCCTGCGCTGCGGAGATCCAAACGCGTCCAGTTAAAGGTAAGCTTGAGAAAGTCTATCTGTCGGTTTTGTTCACTCTTTCCCTCGGGTTTATGCAATCACCCAGCGTTTCTCAAGTCTTCTCCAACTTCTCTGCGGAACTGACACTTTGCATTTCATTTTACTCAAACTGCCACGAATCAACTGCGTGAAGTTTCTTTGCTGTCAACGCTAAAATAACTTTTAATTCTATGAAATGTGTTTTGTATTGTGTGTATGATGTGTACTCTGCTTTATCACCGCACTGTCTGTCTCCTGTGTGACCTGTAGTCCATAAACAAATCAGGCAAAACCAGTTTAAACAAATGACGTTTTGAATGTCTAACTTTAGCTTTTGGGTGAAATGACACCTGTTTTTAACATAACTGACACATTTATAATAATAAAGCCACTTTTTTTAATGATATTGAATATATAACTTATTCTTCCAGAAATGAAGAAACTTGACCAAGAATTCAACCTGTTCACAGTTGCTTCAGATCTTACAACAACAAATGAATGGTCTCGGGATTAGGATCTGGTCTCTGGATCAGGGTCTGGTCTCTGGATCAGGGTCTGGTCTCTGGATCAGGGTCTGGTCTCTGGATCAGGGTCTGGTCTCTGGGTCAGGGTCTGGTCTCTGGATCAGGGTCTGGTCTCTGGATCAGGGTCTGGTCTCTGGATCAGGGTCTGGTCTCTGGATCAGGGTCTGGTCTCTGGATCAGGGTCTGGTCTCTGGATCAGGGTCTGGTCTCTGGATAATGTATGTGGCACAATTGAATGCAAAAGCCAGATCCCGTCAGATCTCTGATGCTAAGCAGGGCAGAGCCTGGTTAGTATGGTGATGGGAGACCTCTGGGAACACCAGGTGCCACAGTAGGGCAGCTGTAAAGTGCTAAAGAGCCTGGTGTGTGTCAATGGCAGGTGGCTTCTGTCAGTGTGCCCCAGGGCAGCTGTGGCTACAGTTGTTGTTTATCACCACCGTGTTTGGAGTGAATGAATAATGACATGTGAAGAGTGTGTTCCAATCACCATGGATCATAACCCTCCTCCTCCCCGTTAAAGTCTACTCCATGGCACTGGAGGAGACTGGCCTCTGGTCAAAGCTCAAGATTCAAGAACAAGAAGAACTAAAACATGTTGGTTTTAGTTCTAACCGATGGTCTCGTTGGTTGATAGTCCCTCACACTCCTGAATCATGCTGAGCCACAGTCTATGGTCCTGACACAGTCTATGGTGTCAGGACCATAGACTGTAAATATTAACAGACGTAGTCACACTTATCTCCGCAGTTCAAAATAATGTGACACCACTTTCACCTTCTGTGGCTTTATCAAAATGGCAGCGGGCAGGAAAATGTGTTAGCCGACACTAGCCCCGTTCGTTTAACGAGTGCATTCAAAAGTCCTCAGCGGCTAAACTAGACTGGTCCAAAACCTAATCATCGACAGCATCTGGAACGAAGAGGACCAAGAGCCACTTTTGGACCAGAGACACTTTTGGACCAGAGAACCACATTTGGACCAAGAGCCACTTTTGGACCAGAGCCACTTTTGGACCGAGAGCCACATTTGGACCTAGAGCCACTTTTGGACAAAGAACCACTTTTGGACCAAGAACCATTTTTGGACCAAGAGCCACTTTTGGACCAAGAACCACTTTCGGACCATCCGTAAAGGCGTTTTCGAGGAGAAAGAAGGTGTCGTAAAAACATATTGGATGATTTTTTTTCTGGGTACGGCACCATCAGTACCCTTTTGTTTGGACTGGACCCTTTTGAGCCGGGACCCGCCCCCACTACTCAGGACACAACAGCAGCCGCAGTCGCCCCACTGTAGCACCAGGAGCTCCTAGAGGTCTCCCATCACAGCACTAACCAGGCCTCTGTGACGAATGGAGGCCTGGACAATGGTGACGTTGCCAGGTATGGAGCAGCTTTCCCCCACTCCGGACTGCACAACCCGGCTCCGGATAAAGCGGGAGAAACTGGATGGATTTAAACATGAAAAACACAGACATGAAAGTCCACAGCCGCTACAAGGAAATGCAACAATAACAAGTTCTGAAGTTTGGGAAATATGAGGCCGGTGAATGGTCAGAAGGGCCAACGACACATCTGGGGTTTCGAGTTGGTGCTACGGCTAAGCTAACAATATCGCTAACTGCATCTTTAAATCTCACATTCTTTAACATTAACGTCTGAAGTAAATATTGTCAAGATATGGTTCAGGGCCAACGTGAAAGATGTCTTTGTGTGTCCTTAAACGCTGAATCAAACTGTTTAGGCGTAACTTTTGTACATGTGAAAACCACAAATATAGTTTCAAAGTTTTGTGAAATGAAAACCAAATGTCCAGCGGCTGTTGATGATGTCAGCGGCTGTGGTCGGACTCAGAAAAGCGGGACTTTTTTGTGGTTTCATAACTTCATAAGTTTGTCTCATCAGGAAGAGTCTGGTAAAAATAACACACAAGCTCTTATTAGAAAACACTGTTTCACTGAGACCCGCTGAGACCCACTGAGACCCACTGAGACCCGCTGAGACCCACTGAGACCCACTGAGACCCGCTGAGACCCACTGAGACCCACTGAGACCCACTGAGACCCACTGACCACTGAGACCCACTGAGACCCACTGAGACCCACTGAGACCCACTGAGACCCAATAAGAACCGCTGAGACCCACTGAGACCCGCTGTGGTCCTGCTCCGGTCTGAAAAGAGGATGTTTGTAGATCCTGTGCTGACAAGTGCATGTGTTGCTCTATAGCCCAGAGATAAGGTCAGAGTTGTATGTGTGAGTTTGCAAATATAAGTGTGTGTGTCTGTGTGTGTATATATGTGTCTGTGTATGTATATATGTGTCTGTGTATGTATATATGTGTGTGTGTATGTATATATGTGTGTGTGTATGTATATATGTGTGTCTGTGTATGTATATATGTGTGTGTGTATGTATATATGTGTGTCTGTGTATGTACAGTATATATGTGTGTGTGTATGTACATACAGTGGGGCAAAAAAGTATTTAGTCAGCCACCAATTCTGCAAGTTTTCCCACTTAAAATAATGACAGAGGTCTGTAATGTTCATCATAGGTTCACTTCAACTGTGAGAGACAGAATGTGGAAAAAATCCAGGAATTCACATTGTAGGATTTTTAAAGAACTTATTTGTAAAAGATGGTGGAAAATAAGTATTTGGTCACTTCAAACAAGGAAGATCTCTGGCTCTCACAGACCTGTAACTTCTTCTTTAAGAAGCTCTTCTGTCCTCCACTCGTTACCTGGATTAATGGCACCTGTTTGAACTCATCTGTATAAAAGACCAAATGTAGCCCAAAGCAATATTTCAACCACTGATAATCTCCCTCGATCTGGAGCTCCACGCAAGATCTCATCCCGTGGGGTCAAAATGATCATGAGAACGGTGATCAAAGATCCCAGAACCACACGGGGGGACCTGGTGAATGACCTGCAGAGAGCTGGGACCAAAGTAACAAAGGTTACCATCAGTAACACACTACGACAGGGAATCAAACCCTGCAGTGCCAGACGTGTCCCCCTGCTGAAGCCAGTGCATGTCCAAGCCCGTCTGAAGTTTGCCAGAGAGCACATGGATGATACAGCAGAGGATTGGGAGAAGGTCATGTGGTCAGATGAAACCAAAGTACAACTGTTTGGTATAAACTCAACTCGTCGTGTTTGGAGGAAGAAGACTGAGCTGCATCCCAAGAACACCATACCTACTGTGAAGCATGGGGGTGGAAACGTCATGCTTTGGGGCTGTTTTTCTGCTAAGGGGACAGGACGACGGATCCGTGCTAAGGAAAGAATGAATGGGGCCATGTATCGTGAGATTTTGAGCCCAAACCTCCTTCCACTGAGTTGAATTTTTGTTATTGACCAAATACTTATTTTCCACCATAATTTACAAATAAATTCTTTAAAAATCCTACAATGTGAATTCCTGGATTTCTTTTTCACATTCTGTCTCTCACAGTTGAAGTGAACCTATGATGAACATTACAGACCTCTGTCATTATTTTAAGTGGGAGAACTTGCACAATCGGAGGCTGACTGAATACTTTTTTGCCCCACTCTATGTGTGTGTAGACCTTGTGCTGACCAGTGCTTGTGTTGCTCTATACAGTCCAGAGCTGTGTGTGTGTGTGTGTGTGTGAGAGAGAGAATTTGTGTGTGTAGATAAGATAAGAGATCCTTTATTCGTCCCACAGTGGGGAAATTTCAGTATTGCAGCGCACAGACAGGACAGTGGTAAGGGACACAGGGGACACGCTGTAAACGCTTCATTCAATACCAGTCAGTGCCAGTGTGTGTGTGCGCATGTGTGTGTGTGTGTGTGCGCATGTGTGTGTGTGTGCACATGTGTGTGTGTGTGTGTGTGTGTGTGTGTGCGCTTGTGTGTGTGTGTGTGCGTGCGGGTGTGGGTGTGTGTGTGTGTGTGTGTGCGTGCGGGTGTGTGTGTGTGTGTGTGTGTGTGTGTGTGTGTGTGTGTGTGTGTGTGTGTGAGTGTGTGAGTGTGTGTGGCGGTCAGAGGCTCGGTGTTTGTACGGTGGTTTTAGCGGCGGTTCACTTCCTCTTTGTCGTACCAGGAAAGAGCTGCTTCATGATAACACACCACAGCCGCTCACTCAGCTGTTAGCATCACACCTCGCACATGTGTGTGTGTGCGTGTGTGTGTGTGTGTGTGTGTATGTGTGTGCGTGTGTGTTCTGAGGAAAACTCTTTATACAACTGTTACTACTGTACAGAGAACTGCGGAATATTCACCAGATCCAACAAGGATTCCAGGGAGCGAACGCAAAACTACTTTTCTCTCTTACATTTTTTTTTTCATTTTATTTTATATGTTTTTATGTTGCATGAGTTTCTCTCTTTAATCATGTTACAACAATGTCCCTCATCAGTCACTCAATTAAAAAAAGTAAATTTAGAACTGCCCAGGCTTTCCAAAGTACTGTACAGACAAAACCACAACAATAAAAAAACAAAAAACACAAAACTTCTATTTACACAATATAAAAAAGAAATAGCCAAAGATAAAAAGTGCGTCTTAAATGTGTATAGGATTTCCCCAATGTTTTGGAAAGAACCGCCCTCTCCACTTTTTGAACAAAACTCTCAGGTCTTATTGGACGAGCACGTATCACCAGAATGATTGACAGTTGGGAGGACCAATAGTGTTGATCCACCCGGAAGTAGAACATCCTCCTAAATACCTTTAAGCAAGGATTTAAAGTGCTTTAGTGATACACAGGGAGCGAGTGCAGGGATCGAACAATGGGTGTGAATGAAGTCTCTGACCTGTAGTTGTTTTTATCTCTGTTCATGCTAATAAGAGGAGCCCCTGCTGTCTAAAAGCTCCTGTTATAGTATGATGTCATTGTGATATAAATTAGTTCCAGGAAATTTCTAATCAATTATAAAAGCAAACACTGTCTACCTCCCTGTGATTTTGTAGTAAAAGTCTCATTATCATCTCCTTCTAATGGATAAAAAGGATGATATTTATCTGTTTAATGTGCACATATGTTAGTGGCGTTTCATTCTACACTACAGCTGCATAGATTATTATTGTTTATCATGTGGCAATTCATTATACGGTAATTCAGGTGTTCAAAGATCATGTGCACGGAGGTTTTCAGAATGATCTGTTCACGTGTTCATGACAAAAATACTGTTTAAATGCGGCAAAAAGCGATTGCGGTAAACCCGGAAGTAAGTGGCGGGCCGTGCCTTTCAGACCGGCGCCTGCAGTGATGTCCTGACCCAGCAATCTCCGACATATTTTTATCTCCCACCCATTGCGTCATACGTGCATAACTTTCTCTCTCTCTGACAGTATCTGAGAACATGACCGAGCGCAACACGAGGGTTCAGGACCCAGTTCTGAGCATTAATGTGGGACAGTCCGACTACAATATAAGTGTTGGATTCCCAGGGGCAAAAATCCTGGCTCTCCTTGCCCTGGCTCTCCTGGTTCTGGCTCTCCTGGTCCTGGCTCTCCTGGCCCTGGCTCTCCTGGCCCTGGCTCTACTGGCCCTGGCTCTCCTGGTCCTGACTCTCCTGGCCCTGACTCTCCTGGCCCTGGCTCTCCTGGCCCTGGCTCTCCTGGTCCTGGCTCTCCTGGCCCTGGCTCTACTGGTCCTGGCTCTCCTGGCCCTGGCTCTACTGGTCCTGGCTCTACTGGCCCTGGCTCTCCTGGCCCTGGCTCTCCTGGCCCTGGCTCTACTGGCCCTGGCTCTCCTGGCCCTGGCTCTCCTGGTCCTGGCTCTCCTGGTCCTGGCTCTCCTGGTCCTGGCTCTCCTGGCCCTGGCTCTCCTGGTCCTGGCTCTACTGGCCCTGGCTCTCCTGGTCTTGGCTCTCCTGGCCCTGGCTCTCCTGGCCCTGGCTCTCCTGGCCCTGGCTCTCCTGGTCCTGGCTCTCCTGGCCTTGGCTCTCCTGGTCCTGGCTCTCCTGGACCTGGCTCTCCTGGTCCTGGCTCTCCTGGCCCTGGCTCTCCTGGTCCTGGCTCTCCTGGCCCTGGCTCTCCTGGCCCTGGCTCTACTGGCCCTGGCTCTCCTGGTCCTGGCTCTCCTGGTCCTGGCTCTCCTGGCCCTGGCTCTCCTGGTCCTGGCTCTACTGGCCCTGGCTCTCCTGGTCTTGGCTCTCCTGGCCCTGGCTCTCCTGGCCCTGGCTCTCCTGGCCCTGGCTCTCCTGGTCCTGGCTCTACTGGCCCTGGCTCTCCTGGTCTTGGCTCTCCTGGCCCTGACTCTCCTGGCCCTGGCTCTCCTGGTTCTGGCTCTCCTGGCCTTGGCTCTCCTGGTCCTGGCTCTCCTGGCCCTGGCTCTCCTGGTCCTGGCTCTCCTGGCCCTGGCTCTCCTGGTCCTGGCTCTCCTGGTCCTGGCTCTCCTGGCCCTGGCTCTCCTGGCCCTGGCTCTACTGGCCCTGGCTCTCCTGGTCCTGGCTCTCCTGGTCCTGGCTCTCCTGGCCCTGGCCCTCCTGGCCCTGGCTCTCCTGGTCCTGGCTCTACTGGCCCTGGCTCTCCTGGCCCTGGCTCTCCTGGCCCTGGCTCTCCTGGTCCTGGCTCACCTGGTCCTGGCTCTCCTGGTCCTGGCTCTACTGGCCCTGGCTCTCCTGGTCCTGGCTCTCCTGGCCCTGGCTCTCCTGGTTCTGGCTCTCCTGGTCCTGGCTCTCCTGGTCCTGGCTCTCCTGGCCCTGGCTCTCCTGGTCCTGGCTCTACTGGCCCTGGCTCTCCTGGTCTTGGCTCTCCTGGCCCTGGCTCTCCTGGCCCTGGCTCTCCTGGCCCTGGCTCTCCTGGCCCTGGCTCTCCTGATCCTGGCTCTCCTGGTCCTGGCTCTCCTGGCCCTGGCTCTCCTGGTCCTGGCTCTCCTGGTCCTGGCTCTCCTGGTCCTGGCTCTCCTGGTCCTGGCTCTCCTGGCCCTGGCTCTCCTGGTCCTGGCTCTACTGGCCCTGGCTCTCCTGGTCTTGGCTCTCCTGGCCCTGGCTCTCCTGGTCCTGGCTCTACTGGCCCTGGCTCTCCTGATCTTGGCTCTCCTGGCCCTGGCTCTCCTGGCCCTGGCTCTCCTGGTCCTGGCTCTCCTGGCCCTGGCTCTCCTGGTCCTGGCTCTCCTGGCCCTGGCTCTCCTGGTCCTGGCTCTCCTGGCCCTGGCTCTCCTGGTCCTGGCTCTCCTGGTCCTGGCTCTCCTGGCCCTGGCTCTCCTGGCCCTGGCTCTACTGGCCCTGGCTCTCCTGGTCCTGGCTCTCCTGGTCCTGGCTCTCCTGGCCCTGGCTCTCCTGGCCCTGGCTCTCCTGGTCCTGGCTCTACTGGCCCTGGCTCTCCTGGCCCTGGCTCTCCTGGCCCTGGCTCTCCTGGTCCTGGCTCTCCTGGTCCTGGCTCTCCTGGTCCTGGCTCTCCTGGCCCTGGCTCTCCTGGTCCTGGCTCTCCTGGCCCTGGCTCTCCTGGTCCTGGCTCTCCTGGTTCTGGCTCTCCTGGTCCTGGCTCTCCTGGCCCTGGCTCTCCTGGTCCTGGCTCTACTGGCCCTGGCTCTCCTGGTCTTGGCTCTCCTGGCCCTGGCTCTCCTGGTCCTGGCTCTACTGGCCCTGGCTCTCCTGGCCCTGGCTCTCCTGGCCCTGGCTCTCCTGGTCCTGGCTCTCCTGGTCCTGGCTCTCCTGGCCCTGGCTCTCCTGGTCCTGGCTCTACTGGCCCTGGCTCTCCTGGTCTTGGCTCTCCTGGCCCTGGCTCTCCTGGTCCTGGCTCTCCTGGTCCTGGCTCTCCTGGTCCTGGCTCTCCTGGCCCTGGCTCTCCTGGTCCTGGCTCTACTGGCCCTGGCTCTCCTGGTCTTGGCTCTCCTGGCCCTGGCTCTCCTGGCCCTGGCTCTCCTGGCCCTGGCTCTCCTGGCCCTGGCTCTCCTGGTCCTGGCTCTACTGGCCCTGGCTCTCCTGGTCTTGGCTCTCCTGGCCCTGGCTCTCCTGGCCCTGGCTCTCCTGGTCCTGGCTCTCCTGGCCTTGGCTCTCCTGGTCCTGGCTCTCCTGGCCCTGGCTCTCCTGGTCCTGGCTCTCCTGGTCCTGGCTCTCCTGGCCCTGGCTCTCCTGGTCCTGGCTCTCCTGGCCCTGGCTCTCCTGGTCCTGGCTCTCCTGGCCCTGGCTCTCCTGGTCCTGGCTCTCCTGGTCCTGGCTCTCCTGGTTCTGGCTCTCCTGGCCCTGGCTCTCCTGGTCCTGGCTCTACTGGCCCTGGCTCTCCTGATCTTGGCTCTCCTGGCCCTGGCTCTCCTGGCCCTGGCTCTCCTGGCCCTGGCTCTCCTGGCCCTGGCTCTCCTGGTCCTGGCTCTACTGGCCCTGGCTCTCCTGGTCCTGGCTCTCCTGGCCCTGGCTCTCCTGGTCCTGGCTCTCCTGGTCCTGGCTCTCCTGGACCTGGCTCTCCTGGTCCTGGCTCTCCTGGCCCTGGCTCTCCTGGTCCTGGCTCTCCTGGTCCTGGCTCTCCTGGTCCTGGCTCTCCTGGTCCTGGCTCTCCTGGTCCTGGCTCTCCTGGTCCCTCTGTCTCTATTCTTCTTGAGAAAGGCGTTCTAACTATTTAGTTACTAGAACAATGTATTCACCTCCTTCAGCCGTAGAGGGTTGAAAAACTATAAGTTGTCGTGCTGCACATAGTATTTCTGTTTGTTTGTGTTGATCACATTAACGTGTCTGCACTTCTGTGGGCTGCACCACAGACTGTTATTGACAGACTGTTAGGCTACTAACAGCTGGGCTTCAGGGCTTTTATAAATGCTTTATAAATGCTTATTTTCCAATAATGACCTGTGTTATGGACATTATCCCATGTACAGTATGTTGGTCACTAGATGTAATGACTTTGGTACAAACGCAGCAGGTTGATGATATTCTGTGGTGATGGATTGATAAGAATGTTGCGCCTGTGGTTAAGTATTTCTCTCCCACAGACTCTGATGCTGCACATGACTGAACTCTTCTTCTACAGCCGCGGTCCCGTCCTGAGAAATGGCTTCTAACATTATTGTGAGTATGAGCCTGAAACATGGATCTATTTTATCACCTGCAGAGAACAGAGGGATGTAAACAACAAAGCAATACAGCAGAAGAGGAGGTTAAAACACTTAAACAAAGCAAACCTCCTCAAAAACGGTCCAAGTGCTGGTCCTCTGGGGGGCTAGAGTCACTACATTTGTAAATAAAAAGGAATATTCTACAACGATCCAATGAATCATGAATGTTGGATTTTTGACTGTGAAACAAAACCAGGACCAGATGGACACAAAAAGCAGCTGCACAGAGCTCCGAGGTCAGGCCAAGAATTCCTCTCAAATGAAGAAATCGTAAAATGATCGGACTGGAAAACATTAAACTGAAAACTCTTCATATTTATATCAGGTGACATTTAAAAAAAACAGTCATTTTAAGATAAATATCAATATATTTACATTGGATTTTATTAGAAAATGCATTAATATCAAGAGATGAAAAAAAACATCCATATAAAATATATATTTACATACTTTGTAAACAGTTTGTGTTGTTATATACAGATTATATTATTGATTTGTGTTCATATGTATCAAGGTTTACTACGAGAAATGGTGGAAAAAGAGCTCCGAGAAAAAAATACTTTTAGTAGCCACGAAGCTAGTGCCCAGATGTGTTCAAAGGCTCACGGGGATGAGGCAAACACAGACAGTTTAAGTCTGGATTAGAGTCAGTCTCGTTCAAACATACTGTACATATTCAAGTCTCGTTGAACACATTCATTTATTAGTTAAGCAAGTAAAGGACAGTGACTCTAATCCAGAATTGCCCCCTGTGGCCATGTCTGGAACAGTATTTGTACTTTGTAATAGTATGTGTACTTTGTAATAGTATGTGTACTTTGTAATAGTATGTGTACTTTGTTATGGTCTGCAGGTGGAACAACAGTTTTCTCATAAGTTCACAGTCACCGTGGTCCAGGCCGAGAGTGTGACCAAAGGAGCCCTGGGAGATTTATGTGAGAGAGACTTTTACATTCTTATGATAATTGATTTTCACTGTTACCAGAGAGAGAGAGAACAGAGAGAGACCAGAGAGATACCAGAGAGAGACCAGAGAGAGACCAGAGAGAGACCAGAGAGAGAGACCAGAGAGAGACCAGAGAGAGAGAGAGACCAGAGAGAGAGAGAAACCAGAGAGAGAGAGAAACCAAAGAGAGAGAGAGAAACCAGAGATACCAGAGAGAGACCAGAGAGAGACCAGAGAGAGAGAGAGACCAGAGAGAGAGAGAAACCAGAGAGAGAGAGAAACCAAAGAGAGAGAGAGAAACCAGAGAGATACCAGAGAGAGACCAGAGAGAGACCAGAGAGAGAGAGAGACCAGAGAGAGAGAGAAACCAGAGAGAGAGAGAAACCAAAGAGAGAGAGAAACCAGAGAGAGAGACCAGAGAGAAAGACCAAAGAGAGAGACCAGAGAGAGAGACCAGAGAGAGACCAGAGAGGGCGGCACTGTGGTGCAGTGGTCAGCGATTGTGCCTCACAGCAAGAAGGTTCTGGGTTGGATTCCATCTGTGTGGAGTTTGTATGTTCTCCTTGTGTCTGCGTAGGTTTCCTCTGGGTGCTCCGGTTTCCTCTGCTACTAAAACATGTACAGTACGTAGGTCAGAGAGAGAGGGATCAGAGAGAAGCCAGAGAGAGACTAGAGAGAGACCAGAAATAGACCAGAGAGAGAGAGAGACCAGGGAGAGACCAGAGATAGACCAGAGATAGACCAGAGATAGACCAGAGAGAGAGAGAGACCAGGGAGAGACCATAGAGAGACCAGAGAGAGAGAGAGACCAGAGAGAAAGAGACCAGAGATAGACCAGAGATAGACCAGTGGAAAGTTCTAAACCTTGTAACAGTGTAGTCTCCTCCTGCAGTGGACACTCCTGACCCCTATGTGGAGCTGTTTATCCCCACGGCCCCCGAGAGCAGGAGGAAGACCAGGCACATCGACAACGACATCAACCCCAAATGGAACGAGACTTTCCACTTCATCCTGGATCCCAACCAGCCCAACGTCCTGGAGGTACGCTGGTCTCTCTCTCTGGTCTCTCTTCGGTGTCTCTCTGGTCTCTTTCTCTTTCTGGTCTCTCTCTGGTCTCTCTTTGGTCTCTCTCCCTTGTCTCTCTCTTTGGTCTCTTTCTCTCACTGGTCTCTCTCTCTCTCTCTGTTCTCTCTCTGTCTCTCTCTCTGGTCTCTCTCTCTCTCTGTTCTCTCTATGTCTCTCTCTTTGGTCTCTCTCACTCTCTCTCTTGTCTCTTTCTCTCTCTGGTCTTTCTGTGGTCTGTCTCTCTCTCTGTCTCTCTCTCCCTCCCTCTCTATGCTCTCTCTCTCTCTGTCTCTCTCCCTCTCTCTCTCTCTCTCTTCTCACTTGTTTTTCCCACAGATAACTCTGATGGATGCGAACTACGTGATGGATGAGACTTTGGGGACAGCGTCTTTGGAGCTGAACAGCCTGAAGATCGGAGAAACCTCCACCAAGACTCTGCTCATCGGCAAAGTCAGTCCAGACTTCAACACGTTTGTCTCTCTCCATGTTTCAGGCCGTTAGAAAACTACACATCTCACTAAAACACACGGATTACACATTTTTCATGAATTTCGTTTTCTTGATTACTGATTGTAAATGATAGCCCTGGGACTAGCGTTACAGTTAAAGGAGCAGTTTGTAAAAATGTGGCCAAAAGTGGTACTGCAGCCTCTCCCACTCTCCCTGACTCAGGTTGCCAGATATGCAGACGAATCCAGCTGGGACCATAACAGCTGAATAGACAAGAGTTTTGTCAACAACAAATCTATAACCAACACCTTTTTCACAAAGATAGAAATCCTGGTTTTATTCCTTGTTTTGTCGTTAATGATTTGAGAATCATAACGAGACCTTTTTTAGTTCTGCGCCACATGGTACTTTACCAGTGAGATTAGCTCCACGCGGTGAGTTCTGGCGCCCGGATCACAGACTTTCTGATTGGTGAAACGGTGGAGGGCGGGACATCGAAATGAAAACAATAACAAGATTTAGGGCCTGTATTATTTATAAATTCAAATATCACTGAACTACTGTTATCAGTGAAAGAAGTATTGGAAAAGATCAGTTTATTGATACCTTTTGACCGATTAGGGTCCTTTAACAATGACAGATTAGGACCTTTAATGACGACAGATTAGGGCCCTTTAATGAGGATTGATTGATATATTTTTCCTGTCTTCTCAGGCCACAAAAGTGCACCTGGAGATGTCCTTGACGATCTGGTAAGCACGTTTTTGTCTCCTTCTCTCTCTGCTCAACCTGCAACACAACAGAAGTCACTCAGAGGCTAAATTTAGAAAGTACAGAAGTGAAGTGTAAACGGTTTTGTGCTAAAGCGTCATGTAATTTAACAAAGGCTATGAACGTGCCTCTCATTCCTCTGAGCTGTGTCATGGACCGAGGAGACGGAAGTGTCACACAGAGGTCACACAAACACACACTCTTATCTCACACACAAGAACACAACACACTTCTGTCACACAAACACACACTCCCAGACTCTTATCTCACACACAAGAACACAACACGCTTCTGTCACACAAACAGAAGGAGCAGAACAAAACACACACAGATACTTTAAATTCTGCTACAATGTCTGCTGTCGTTGTGTCCTTGGGCAACCACACTTTGCCTATAAGGAGCGTGGAAGTAATGTACGCTGCATGCCTTGATGTGAATCTGTCGAACTGAAACTTCTCCACTTCGACAGTGGCTCAGTTAATAGAGCATTGGCCTTTGAGCCTGGAGGTCGTGGGTTCGAGCCCACCATGGGACCTACTCCGTCTGCTCCAGGGCTGGACTGGCCATCGGGCGTACCGGGCAATGCCCGAAGGGCCGATGCCCATATTTGGGCCGGTCTGTCATACAAAAAAGATGTTTGTGAAAAGTGTAAATCCGTTGAGAACTGTTCGAGGGGGCGCGCGTGTCCGCGGGGCACCTGCTGTATGTACTCGAACGGGATTCCACCACCTCAGCGGCCGCAGTGTTCCCGCATCCAGCGGCTCTGAGCTGGACGCGGGAACCACTCACAACACAACACGGTGAGCGCGTAGCCGCAACGTGACCATGTACCCAAGACCATAAACGAGCACAGGACCATGCATGTCTTTTCGTAGTTTGTGCACCCAATAAATACACCCCTGCAGTAAACAGTCCGCGTCTCCCCTCTCCTCTAAATTAAAGCTTGGGTACCTACATTTTCCATTGCATTAAAAGTTCATGTTTGAGCCCAAAAGTAACATGTTGTGAACAGATTAAACAGATTTAGAGCCAGCTAATGGCTGACATTATGCATTTCAGACATTTTTACCAATTCTCATCCCTGTAACAAACAATAGTGTTGTCTGTGCCCACCTCCCTCACTCTGAGACATGTTTATTACTCTGTTTAATGTAGACTATTGTACTTTATTTTATTGTTGAAACTGCAGACATCCTGATCCTCTACAGTATTTGCTTCCACATACTGTATAAACCAGGGGTCGGCAACCTTTAGTGCCCCTAAAGTGGCTCCTGGAGCCTTTTTCAAAAATGTCTGAAAATGGAGTGGGAGGGCTATATTTTATTTCTAGTTTCAATGTGGTTTCTGTAGGAGGAAAAACATTCTTAACGTTTTTCAATGCTGCAAAAACTTGTATAAGTAATATTCAATTTTAGCATTTCTGTCAACGTAGTGCGTCATATCCTGTGACGCGGCCCCGTGCCAGGTGGCCGCTGCTGTAAACAAACATTATAGACTGTGTGTGCGCATGGATCCCAAAGATAAAGACAGAGAGTCGATAAGACTGGACTAAGAATGAAAATGAACATTTGCTTTCAGTCAATGAGGAAGGACTGCTTCATGTTTGTAATGAAAAGTTTTGTTGCAACAGGAGGAACAATGAAGCTTTAAACACGTTCACTGAAAGATTCATTCATCATAAAGTCAGAGCACCTATTTTCAGACTTCAAAAACCTTCGTAAAGACGGTGAAAGAAAAGGCCATTAAGGACATTCAGCTCCAGAAAACTTCAGTCTGTGATGGATATGAACAGACAGTGATGCAGGTGAACTCGGAGCCAAAAAGCAGATTTATTTACTCTATTTGTACAATTGCATGAAGGTTAAACTTAAAGCAGAGTTGTCTCGTGGTGCGTCGTTCTCTCCAGGACATGCTGCAATGAAAACACACATTTGATAATGTTTTTATGTGTTTGTAGCCTTTACTTTGTCATTTAGATATTAGGCTAATATAGCGAATATAGCTAATGTAGCTAATACAGCTTCAGCCCCTGTTACCGTCATATAAGCCTTATACAACGCTGTTTTGTTTTTTTGCGGCTCCAGACAGATGTTGTTTTTAGTTTTTTTGTCAAATATGGCTCCTTGAATTTTTTGAGTTGCCTGAGCCGCTAAGAAGGAAAAAATGCCCGGGCCGTTTTTTTGTCCCAGTCCAGCCCTGGTCTGCTCCCACAAATGTCTGCTGTCGTTGTATTCTTGGGCAAGACACTTAACCCCACGTTGCCTGAAGCCCCCGCTGAAAGACCAAGGCTGTTTCTCAGCTGACGGAGCAGCCATTGTCCCGTGGACCCACCCCCTGCTGATGATCAGAGGGGACTGGTGCTGTGAGCATTGGGTGCAGCTCTCGTTGCCACCCCCCCAACCCAGAAATGGACTAATAAAGGGGTTGAAATTGAATGAATGAATAATAAAAGGTGTTATTTCCTAGCTGCTCTAACCACTTCAGGCTCCTGTCTCCATGTTCGCGCTGAGCAGAGATTTCTAAAGCGTCTCGCAAACTTACTTTGAAAACTGCTGATTCTCTACGTCTCGTCTGTAAACAGTCAGTTAGATCTGAAGAGACTCGAACAGACAAAACAGGGGAATTATGAGAACTGTACAACTCTGAAGACAATAATTGAAAGATTACGTTTAAAATTGCGGTACAAGAAATGTGATTTAGATTTGGCGTTTAGACCCTGGAGGACCACTGTGACCCCAGCCCGCCTGGAGCTGCTTCAGTCCTGCCCCGCACCTGTCCTACAGTCTGAGTCCTGAGCTGCGTGGCCCTGGTCCTCATTCTGTAGCTTAGGTCCTGGATCTACAGCCTCAGTCCTCATTCTACAGTCTCTCCCTATGGACCAATACCATTTGAAAACTGCTGTTGTGATTTAGGGCGATACAAGAATAAATTGAACTCAATTGAATTGAAGTTAATGAGATGAAATCCCCCGGGGCCTAGACCCTGGTGGTGTAGCTCAGAGAAGGGTGAAAGACGCGGAGATGAGGAGGAGGAGGGTTGCTGCATGAATTAAAGCTACTACTTAAACACAGATTTGTATTAACAGCTCCAGACTTTTGGACGTAACGAGTGGACGCAAAGTATTACGTCCAAAACGTTCAGTTATTGAATTATATTTTTCTGCATAATATAAAATCTATAATTAGAGATTGATTTAAGTTATTTCTCCAGCAATTAGCCAGGACCAAACCTGTAGATCCAGGACTGAGGCTGTAGACCCAGGACTGAGGCTGTAGATCCAGGACTGAGGTTGTAGATCCAGGACTGAGGCTGTAGATCCAGGACTGAGGCTGTAGATCCAGGACCGAGGCTGTAGACCCAGGACTGAGGCTGTAGACCCAGGACTGAGGCTGTAGATCCAGGACTGAGGCTGCAGACCCAGGACTGAGGCTGTAGATCCAGGACTGAGGCTGTAGATCCAGGGCCGAGGCTGTAGATCCAGGACTGAGGCTGTAGACCCAGGACTGAGGCTGTAGACCCAGGACTGAGGCTGTAGATCCAGGACTGAGACTGTAGATCCAGGACTGAGACTGTAGATCCAGGACCGAGGCTGTAGACCCAGGACTGAGGCTGTAGACCCAGGACTGAGACTCTAGACCCAGGACTGAGGCTGTAGACCCAGGACTGAGGCTGTAGACCCAGGACTGAGACTGTAGATCCAGGACTGAGACTCTAGACCCAGGACTGAGGCTGTAGACCCAGGACTGAGGCTGTAGACCCAGGACTGAGACTGTAGATCCAGGACTGAGGCTGTAGATCCAGGACTGAGACTGTAGATCCAGGACTGAGGCTGTAGATCCAGGACTGAGACTGTAGATCCAGGACTGAGACTGTAGATCCAGGACTGAGACTGTAGACCCAGGACCGAGGCTGTAGACCCAGGACTGAGGCTGCAGACACAGGACTGAGGCTGTAGATCCAGGACTGAGACTGTAGATCCAGGACCGAGGCTGTAGATCCAGGACTGAGACTGTAGATCCAGGACTGAGACTGTAGATCCAGGACTGAGACTGTAGACCCAGGACCGAGGCTGTAGACCCAGGACTGAGGCTGCAGACCCAGGACTGAGGCTGTAGATCCAGGACTGAGACTGTAGATCCAGGACTGAGGCTGTAGACCCAGGGCTGAGGCTGTAGACCCAGGACTGAGGCTTTAGACCCAGGACTGAGGCTGTAGACCCAGGACTGAGGCTGTAGACCCAGGACTGAGGCTGTGGATCCAGGACTGAGGCTGTAGACCCAGGACTGAGGCTGTAGATCCAGGACTGAGGCTGTAGATCCAGGGCTGAGGCTGTAGACCCAGGACTGAGGCTGTAGATCTATAGAATGCAGTATTTGTCTTCCAGCACAAACCAGGACCTGCGCTTCAGTGTGGCTCTGTGCGACAAAGAGGAGCAGTTCAGACACAGCCGCAGAGAGAGGGTGATGCTCGGGATCAAGAAGCTGCTGGACATGGAGAAGCCGCGGTACCTGCCCAGCTCGCCAGAGGAGGTGACCGTCTCACACTCTGAAAGTTATCTTCAAACTGAAAATACATACATTTTTACATTATTTGTCGTTTATTCTTAGTAGTCACATCAATCCACTCTGCTGCTAAACCTTTAAGCTTCTTGGTATGTGACCTTCCTGTCTGCAGAAGAGTAAAGCCTAGCGTACATGGACAGAGAAACTGGAGACAACTAGTCGCAAGGCGGCTTTTGGCGACTGAGAGGATATGATGGAGATGATCAGTTGAAATCGGTCGATGTAAGCGCTCTTACAACTGGAGATAAACAGTCGGTCTCTGGATTCAGTCATTTGCCCGTGTTCTACTTTTCGGCAACTAGTCGTCCTCAGATCCGGAGATATCACCGATGTGCTCCAACAACATGTGTGTATTGTGTGTATAGCGCCCTCTACAGTTTATGTCAGAAAACACACTGTAGTTGAGGCCAGTTGCTGTTATTCCCCAGACTGGTCTGCTACTAGGAGTTACCCGTTTTCGCCAGATTGTCGATGTGTGCGGGGCAGAAACTCGTATGCGACGGATATAATCAGTTGCCAGTCCGATGTACGCTGGGCATTAGTGTTGGTAAAGATGACAAAGTCCCACAGGTCCAGTTTTCAGGCCTCTGTCCTGTGTGCGGCAGTTCTGAGTCAGTCTGTCCCAGGGCAGCTGGAGTGACACGGCTGTTTTACCACTGTGGGAACTGAACCAAGACACCAACACTTGCACTTTGCTTTCTGCGATTGTATTCTCAATTGTTTCGGTTGCGTACGTGCACTTCTACCACCTTAGTTTTCCAATGTCCACAGACATCTTGCCAAAGTTTATCTTTTCTGTGGTCCTGCAATAACTGTTTTAGCATTTCCTCCTCGGCCTGTGGTGGCTTGGGAGAGGTGCATTCTGGGTCTCTGGTCTGACCCATGCCCCCTGTTTGTCTAATACTGACTTATAATGTGTGGTTTGACATTGCTTGTTTCAGTCTCTGCTTTTCAGCAGTGAGGGAATAAAAATCTGGTTTGATGAACCCCAAGAATGTAACGATACACTGACCTGTTTCGATCTGAACGTTACTCTTGTGGTTCAATTAGATTATTTTAATTTTTGGGGAAAAAAACTATATGTTATCAGTGTTTTATTTTTCTAAACAAGCAAAAAATAACTTCAATCAGAATCAAACTATTACTGCAGGATCGTCCTCAGCTGCGCGTCCCCTGAACTCGACCATTAGCAGCACTTCTAAAACTGTATAAGAACGAGACACGTATGTAACAAGTCGTACGCACAGAGCACAGACACAGAGCTGCTGCTAAAGCACAAGATACAATTTATTTACCATTTGCAGTAAAACCACATTGGAAAAATTGTGCAAGACTTACCCAGTGTGCACAATACCAACCATCTGTAAAAACCTCATGAAAAATAAGAGCTATATTTAAAATAAAGTGTAAACTCAGAGCCTTCTCCTGGAGCCAAGTGCAATTATAGCACTAATAAGATAATAAATGTGTATTATCTTATGATTATTATTCTGTGATCTTTATAATATATTTTAGATCCAGTCTCCTGAGTCTCTTCTATAGTAATGTGCAGGAGTGACATTGAAATCTACGAATAAGGATTTATCTTATCTGCTCCTGGGACTCAGACTCAGCTTTAGTCTGTGCTTTTGCCTGAGGTCATTTCTCTCCTGGTTTCGCTGCTGTATGTTTTCTTCATCATCACATTCCTCTCTGTGCTGGGCAGCGCGGGCCCAGAGAACACCACAGAACTACCTCCTGCGGAAAAGCACGTCCTCTCGCAATCCACGTTACACAAATGTACATTCCAAAGTCCTGGATTATTGTTAGAAAAGATGTGATGAAACTACGGGCATCCCGCCTGAAGGGGAAGTTACTCAAGCTGCAGAAATGCCTTTGAATAAAAGTGAGATCGATGTGTCATTCTGCAGCGTGTAATTATTGGATTAAGCCGGAGGGATTTAGAGATATGAGGAGGTAGAAACTGAACTGAAGAGACCGTAGGAGGATTCCACAGTGTGTTGAGACTTACGTTTCATTCATTGAAAGCTACAGCTCCAGAGCTAGAGGAAGTGTGTGTGGATAGGGAAGTCTGGGTGTCTCTGCTTAGACTGCTGCCCCCGCGACCCGGCAACAGATGAAGCGGAAGAAAATGGATGGATGGATGGATGAAATATAAAGAATAAATATTATGTATTACTTTTGGCCTTTAGAGGAGCAGTATGTAAAAATGTGGCCAAAAGTGGTACTGCAGCCTCTCCCACTCTCCCTGACTCAGGTTGCCAGATATGCAGACGAATCCAGCTGGGACCATAACAGCTGAATAGACAAGAGTTTTGTCAACAACAAATCTATAACCAACACCTTTTTCACAAAGATAGAAATCCTGGTTTTATTCCTTGTTTTGTCGTTAATGATTTGAGAATCATAACGAGACCTTTTTTAGTTCTGCGCCACATGGTACTTTACCAGTGAGATTAGCTCCACGCGGTGAGTTCTGGCGCCCGGATCACAGACTTTCTGATTGGTGAAACGGTGGAGGACGGGACATCGAAATGAAAACAATAACAAGATTTAGGGGCTGGAAAAGTAATTTAGAAATTCAAATATCTCTGAACTACTGTTATCAGTGAAAGAAGTATTGGAAAAGATCAGTTTATTGATACCTTTAGACAGATTAGGGCCCTTTAATGATGACAAATTAGGGCCCTTTAAAGATGACAGATTAGGGCCCTTTACTGATGACAGATTAGGGCCCTTTAATGATGACAGATTAGGGCCCTTTAATGATGCCTTGACATGAAAATCTTACGTATTGCTCACTAATATTTCCCTGATAAATGAATTCCCGCAGGTGAGTTGTGTCTGCAGCTCCTCCAGAGTAACCATGGGCCTCGTGTTTGCATCTGTGATCGGCCGAGTCTTGGTAGATTTGCAGTTGTGCCGTACTCTTTCCATTCCCAGAGGATGGATTAAACAGTTCTCTGTGAATCTAATATTTTTTCATGGTTTGATTTGATGATTTTAGAAAAGAAAGTTTGACGTATGTGAGTTTGCGTCCACATCTCTGAACACGCCCATCTGTGTGTGCTCCAGGTCCCGGTGATCGCCATCGCCGGCTCAGGAGGGGGCTTCCGGGCCATGGTGGGTTTCTCCGGAGTCATGAAGGCCCTGTTCGAGTCCGGCCTCTTGGACTGTGCCACGTATGTCGCTGGTCTGTCCGGCTCCACATGGTCAGTGCTCACTTCCTGTTTGTTGGACTCAGATTCAGTTTCTTTTACCATTTTCAGTAAAATCACTCTAGAATAAATGTGCCACAGAACCCAGTGTGAACCAATATAAACAAATATATGAAACAAAACAAGCTAAAAAGTAAAAGTAACAATTGTCACTGTAAAATCCAACAACAAAAACGGTTTCAATACAAGTGAAACATTGTTCAAATATTCAAGATTCAAGATTAATTTATTTTGTCCCGTAGGAAATTTGTCTTGGACTCACAGAACAGAAAACAAATACACATGAGGCAGACATCAAACACAACACAGTCACATGCTAACAGCCAGAAATCCTGGTTTTATTCCCTGTTTTGTCGTTAATGATTTGAGAATCATAACGAGACCTTTTTTAGTTCTGTGCCACATGGTACTTTACCAGTGAGATTAGCTCCACGCGGTGAGTTCTGGCGCCCGGATCACAGACTTTCTGATTGGTGAAACGGTGAAGGGCGGGACATCGAAATGAAAACAATAACAAGATTTAGAGGCTGGAAAAGTAATTTAGAAATTCAAATATCTCTGAACTACTTTTATCAGTTAAAGAAGTATTGGAAAAGAGCAGATTATTATTAGGACAGATTAGGGCCCTTTAATGAGGAAAGATTAGGGCCCTTTAATGATGACAGATTAGGGCCCTTTAATGAGGACAGATTAGGGCCCTTTAATGAGGACAGATTAGGGCCCTTTAATGATGACAGATTAGGGCCCTTTAATGAGGACAGATTAGGGCCCTTTAATGATGACAGATTAGGGCCCTTTATTGATGACGGATTAGGGCCCTTTAATTATGACAGATTCGGGCCCTTTAATTATGACAGATTAGGGCCCTTTAATGATGACAGATTAGGGCCCTTTAACGATGACAGATTTGGGCCCTTTAATGGTGACAGATTAGGGCCCTTTAATGATGACAGATTAGGGCCCTTTAATGACAACAGATTAGGGCCCTTTAATGATGACAGAATAGGGCCCTTTCATGATGATAGAATAGGGCCCTTTAATTATGACAGAATAGGGTCCTTTAATGAGGACAGATTAGGGCCCTTTAATGAGGACAGATTAGGGCCCTTTAATGATGACAGATTAGGGCCCTTTAATGAGGACAGATTAGGGCCCTTTAATAATGACAGATTAGGGCCCTTTATTGATGACGGATTAGGGCCCTTTAATTATGACAGATTAGGGCCCTTTAATTATGACAGATTAGGGCCCTTTAATGATGACAGATTAGGGCCCTTTAATGATGACAGATTAGGGCCCTTTAATGGTGACAGATTAGGGCCCTTTAATTATGACAGATTAGGGCCCTTTAATGACAACAGATTAGGGCCCTTTAATGATGACAGAATAGGGCCCTTTCATGATGATAGAATAGGGCCCTTTAATTATGACAGAATAGGGCCCTTTAATGATGACAGATTAGGGTCCTTTCCTTTAATGACGACAGATTAGGGCCCTTTAATCACGACAGATTTGGGCCCTTTAATGATGACAGATTTGGGCCCTTTAATGACGACAGATTAGGGCCCTTTAATGATGACAGAATAGGGCCCTTTAATGGTGACAGATTAGGGCCCTTTAACGATGACAGAATAGGGCCCTTTAATGATGACAGATTAGGGCCCTTTGATTATGACAGATTAGGGCCCTTTAACGATGACAGATTAGGGCCCTTTAATGATGACTAGACGTGAAAATCGTACATATTTCGACTTAAACTCACTAACTTTTTGACCAATAAAAAGACTATCTAGTATCGTGTAAGCTCCGCCTCCTTTCTCTGGTAGAGACGAGTCACCGGCAGCATTTTTCCTTTCTGACTCTTGTTCCTCCGCCCTCCATCCTGCGTTACCTTCTAACCATGTGGCGCCTGCAGGTACATGTCCACTCTCTACTCACACCCGGACTTTCCAAATAAGGGCCCGAAGGAGATCAACGTGGAGCTGATGAGCCGCGTGAGCAGTAACCCGCTGCGCCTCCTCATGCCCCAGCACATCACCAACTACATCCAGGCTCTGTGGGCCAAGAAGGCCTCGGGGCAGCCGGTCACCTTCACCGACATCTTTGGCATGCTGATCGGAGAGACGCTCATCCCCGCGGTGAGCACACACTGGGAGGGAACCGTGCAAAAATGTCAAATAAAAATATAAAAAAACGGTATTGTACTGTATAGCTCAATTCAGACACACGGCAACTCAAAGTGCTGAACAAAACAAGATAGAAACGGTCACACAAAGCATTAAAATCATAAATAATCCCAGTGCATTTAAAAGAAAGACAGAGCTGGTTTTAACCTGGATTTAAACATTGTCAGAGAAGAAGAAGCCTCCCTATGTTTAGTTCTGACTCTGGGACCAGCAGGAGTCCAGTCCCTGTGCTCCTCAGAGTCCCAGCAGGAGACCAGTCCCTGTGCTCCTCAGAGTCCCAAGAGGAGACCAGTCCCTGTGCTCCTCAGAGTCCCAGCAGGAGTCCAGTCCCTGTGCTCCTAAGAGTCCCAGCAGGAGTCCAGTCCCTGTGCTCCTCAGAGTCCCAGCAGGAGACCAGTCCCTGTGCTCCTCAGAGTCCCAGCAGGAGTCCAGTCCCTGTGCTCCTAAGAGTCCCAGCAGGAGTCCAGTCCCTGTGCTCCTCAGAGTCCCAGCAGGAGGCCAGTCCCTGTGCTCCTCAGAGTCCCAGCAGGAGGCCAGTCCCTGTGCTCCTCAGAGTCCCAGCAGGAGACCAGTCCCTGTGCTCCTCAGAGTCCCAGCAAGAGGCCAGTCCCTGTGCTCCTCAGAGTCCCAGCAGGAGACCAGTCCCTGTGCTCCTCAGAGTCCCAGCAGGAGGCCAGTCCCTGTGCTCCTCAGAGTCCCAGCAGGAGACCAGTCCCTGTGCTCCTCAGAGTCCCAGCAAGAGGCCAGTCCCTGTGCTCCTCAGAGTCCCAGCAGGAGACCAGTCCCTGTGCTCCTCAGAGTCCCAGCAGGAGGCCAGTCCCTGTGCTCCTCAGAGTTAGTTCATATGTCACTAACAGAAGAACTTTGAGGCCACAGAGAGACTTGTTTTAAAGTCAACACAGGAAATGTGTTGACACTATTTCAATAATCCGTTTGTTGCTTGTTATCTCCACAGAAGTGTATTCATATATTTCTCACTTTGGTGAAGATGGAGCTTCTAAACAAACCAGTGAAAAGTCATATGTTTATATTCTGTGTTGTGTGGAGTAGAGGATGGACCGCAGACTCAGTGACATCCAGGAGAAGGTGGAGCAGGCCCAGAGCCCCCTCCCGCTCTTCACCTGTCTCCACGTCAAACCAGACGTCTCCGAGCTCATGTTTGCAGGTGAGAGAAACCGTCACACATTTAACCCAAACCCTCAGATCTGGGACTGAACCTTTCACTTTGTCAGAACTGGGTCAAGTGTAAATGAAGCCAAAATGTCTCAGATCAGAAATTTGAGGAAACCCGGTCATTTCTAGATTCAGGGACGGTGGTTTTATCTTCGTAGGAAAATCAAAAGAATGTAGTTTGGAAGTTCTCACAGATGTGTTCAAAGGTTTATGACAAAGAGACTCCAACGTCTATTTTTAGTTTCCTGAAATCATGAAATTGATTTGTAACGTTTTTTATAAAGTTACTACAGTTTCTCAAGTTTCTTAAAGATAACTAGATTATCAATCCATGTTCCAGAGACGGACTGGAACTGGATTTATAATGTTGTTATAAAGAGGAACTGCTAGCAAGGAGAGGGAGGATCAAGAGGAGGAAGAGGAGGAAGAGGATGAAGAAGAAGATGTAGCATATACGTTTCAGAAAGCTAATAAAGTCTAAGAGCTAGTTGTGTAACAATTGTACTTAAGTTTTTAGTCTCAGTTTGCTAACTAGAAAAAAGTGATGGATTTAGGCTGGAATCAGAAAACCCTGGAACGACTCTGGGAGAGGCAGAGGCGATATATACCTCTGCTTTGCACCATGTATTGATAGATTATACACAGTGACAGTGACAAACAGTGAATGGCCACTCATTACGATGCAATACTCGACCAACAATATTTACAGTACAGAAAATAAACAAAGTTCCAGTAGACTCAGAAGTTATTCAAGTAACTCTGGTGTGCAACAGACACGACTTTAAGGTCAGTAAAGAGTGCATCCAAGTCCAAGTTCAACACAGATCCCAGAGTTGGGATTCTCCAACACTGACCGAGGAGGAGTGTCGAGATATGACTCAGTTCAAAGGATCACAATAAAGTGCTGTGTGCAGGAGTTCAATGGTCTGTATGCACGGGGTCATTTCCTGTTAACAAAGGACAGCTCTTTCACTTCCTGCCTATGCTATCCTATGGCTTTTAGGTGGGTTTTAGTGACGGTTTTTAGTATTTAGATTGATACATTCAGCTGAGACTGACCCAAAAGTGTCGCTGTGCTTTCTCTCTGAGGTAGAGCTTTGACTGTGGCCACTCAGAGAGATTTAAACTTTATAAAAACACAATGACAGCACAATCAGAGAGCACTGCTGTGTCCCAAAAATGCCCTGTATCCTCAGTTTAATTCCCGCTTGAGCATTATTTGGGAAACTCGTGTAAACCACTGAACTCCAGTGAAACTCAAGCAGTTTCCCGTGAACAGGAAGTGAGGTGGGGCTTTAGCTAAAACGCAGAAGTGGTGCGTGCATAGAGCCCATTATAGGCTGCCGGAGCCTCCTACCAGCCCAGGACCAGTGGTGGAGGAGGAGCTCCTTCAGGGTCCAGAGTCAGAGCGGTTCAGTTCCAGTGGACTCTAGCTCGCCATCAACATGCCTGAACAACAGGACCATGGAAATCAATAACTTGTGTACACATTAACTATTGTACAAATACTCATAAGTCTCAATTAATCATTATAGAAATATCAATCTATAAGCAATAATTAATATTTAAAAGAGTTTCCATAAAAGTTACTCATCGTGTGTGTGCGTGTAGTTAGCGTCACACTGGCTGCAGCTGCGCTCTGCACAAACAGCTAATGAACAAACAATATAAGCTAAAAACCGCCATAAAACTAGTTGGTTAACAATTACACCATTATCCATTATACATGAACAGTAAATGTAGTTGTCATGACTCTTTGACGACAGATTACTTTAAACATGAAAAGACTTGGCAAAACCACAATGCTAACTTTGCAAAGAAAGTTAATGGGAAATGCTAAGCTAACAAACTCAATACAAATAAATGGAGAATTCTGAGGTTAGCACGAACTCTCCAATTCCGCGTGTAAACTTTAGCATATGCGGCAGTTTTTTAACGAATGACAGATCGGCAGTCGGCTCCTGCTTGTTAAATGACTCAAAGTAAGTTTCATGACAGTTAATAATCATTTTGATGGTTAAAGGCGTTATCGTACCCGCAGCACGTCCAAAGCACGCTCTGCTCTTGCAAGTCCTGAACACTTCCGGCGTAGCGGCTATACTGAACACTGATTGGGTGAACGTTGGGAACGCAGTGACGTCATACTCAAAGATAAAAACCAACGCAAGATAATACAGTTTGTCGATTTGACACCTGCGTTACAAAGAGCAGGAGGACTGGATTATTTATTTATTTGAACTGTAGGAACTTTATAATGACATGTTATGAGTTGGTCCCAGTCCTGATGAGCTCAGAGTGACTTTGGTCCACTCTGGTCCGCTCTGGTCTGTTCTGGTCCGCTCTGGTCCGCTCTGGTCCGCTCTGGTCCGCTCTGGTCTGCTCTGGTCCGCTCTGGTCCGCTCTGGTCTGCTCTGGTCCGCTCTGGTCCGCTCTGGTCTGCTCTGCTCCGCTCTGCTCCGCTCTGGTCCGCTCTGGTCTGCTCTTGTCTGCTCTGGTCTGCTCTGGTCCGCTCTGGTCTGCTTTGGTCTGCTCTGGTCCGCTCTGCTCCGCTCTGCTCCGCTCTGGTCCGCTCTGGTCCGCTCTGGTCTGCTCTGGTCCGCTCTGGTCCGCTCTGGTCTGCTCTGGTCCGCTCTGGTCCGCTCTGGTCTGCTCTGGTCCGCTCTGGTCCGCTCTGGTCTGCTCTGCTCCGCTCTGCTCCGCTCTGGTCCGCTCTGGTCTGCTCTTGTCTGCTCTGGTCTGCTCTGGTCCGCTCTGGTCTGCTTTGGTCTGCTCTGGTCCGCTCTGCTCCGCTCTGGTCCGCTCTGGTCCGCTCTGGTTCCAGTTCACTCCTGGTTTAGTATGATTCTTGTTTATATATTTGAATACAGATCTACAGAAGCAGACAAAGTGGAGCTCATGCAAACATCACAGCGGCTCATATTTCCATAAAACTCCAAACTCTGTGTCTCAGAGAAACACGGTCAAAGATACAACAGAAATATGCAAATCCAATGTACACAGAATACAGAAGATTTATTTTAAAGAAGAGGCGTCTTTACACTGTGGCTGTGAGATGATGCTACTGGGGAGGAGGAGGAGGAGGAGGAGGAAGAAGAGGAGGAGGAGGAGGAAGAGGAGGAGGAGGAGAGAGGAGGAGGAGGAGGAGGAAGAAGAGGAGGAGGAGGAAGAAGAGGAGGAGGAGAGAGGAGAGAGGAGGAGGAAGAAGAGGAGGAGGAGAAGAAGAGGAGGAGGAGAGAGGAGAGAGGAGGAGGAAGAAGAGGAGGAGGAGGAAGAAGAGGAGGAGGAGAAGAGGAGGAGGAAGAAGAGGAGGAGGAGGAAGAGGAGGAGGAGGAAGAGGAGGAGGAGGAGGAGGAGGAGGAGGAGAAGAGGAGGAGGAGGAGGAAGGAGGAGAGGAGGAGGAGGAAGAAGAGGAGGAGGAGGAGGAAGAGGAGGAGGAGGAAGAGGAGGAGGAGGAGGAAGAAGAGGAGGAGGAGGAAGAAGAGGAGGAGGAGAGAGGAGAGAGGAGGAGGAAGAAGAGGAGGAGGAGAGAGGAGGAGGAAGAAGAGGAGGAGGAGAGAGGAGAGAGGAGGAAGAAGAGGAGGAGGAGGAAGAAGAGGAGGAGGAGGAAGAAGAGGAGGAGGAGGAGGAAGAGGAGGAGGAAGAGGAGGAGGAGGAAGACATTTTTCTTGAAAACTTGACTTGCTCTTTATTTGCATCGGACTCTGCCTGGAACATGTGACATCAGGACTTTAAACCACACCTGCAGGAGAAACTTCTGAAGCTGAGCCAGGCAGGGCCCAGACTGGTTGCCTCGCTTCTGTCAGTGTGCCCCAGGGCAGCTGTGGCTACAGTCGTGGTTTATCACTACTGTGTATGGAGTGAGTGAATAATGAGTGACCTCCTTCAGGAGCCCCTGTCACGTGACCTCCTTCAGGAGCCCCTGTCATGTGACCTCCTTCAGGAGCCCCTGTCACGTGACCTCCTTCAGGAGCCCCTGTCACGTGACCTCCTTCAGGAGCCCCTGTCACGTGACCTTTGCCATGAGCTCCTGTTACTTCACTTCCCCGGGACTTGAAAACGTTTTTCTTCACAAAGTTATAAAGCTTATATTTAACATATAGTATATATTTTGTAACAAACAAAAATAGTGACGTTTGTTCCACAAATTGTGACCAGGTATTATGTACATATGAGCCATCGCTGTTTTCATCTGGGCATTTGGGATGCATATTTGGGCCGGTCTGTCTGCCTCATACAAAAAACATGTTTGTGAAAAGTGTAAATCCGTTGAGAACTGTTCGAGGGGAGCGCGCGTGTCCGCGGGGCACCTGCTGTATGTACTCGAACGGGATTCCACCACCTCAGCGGCCGCAGTGTTCCCGCATCCAGCGGCTCTGAGCTGGACGCGGGAACCGCTCACAACACAACACGGTGAGCGCGTAGCCGCAACATGACCATGTACCCAAGACCATAAACGCGCACTGGACCATGCGTGTCTTTGCGTAGTTTGTGCACCCAATAAATACACCCCTGCAGAAAACAGTCCGCGTCTCCCCTCTCCTCTAAATTAAAGCTCGGGTACCTACATTTTCCATTGCATTAAAAGTTCATGTTTGAGCCCAATAGTAAAATGTTGTGAACAAATTAAACAGATTTAGAGCCAGCTAATGGCTGACATTATGCATTTCAGACATTTTTACCAATTCTCATCCCTGTAACAAACAATAGTATTGTCTGTGTCACCTCCCTCACTCTGAGACATGTTTATTACTCTGTTTAATGTAGACTATTGTACTTTATTTTATTGTTGAAACTGTAGACATCCTGATCCTCTACAGTATTTGCTTCCACATACTGTATAAACCAGGGGTCGGCAACCTTTAGTGCCCCTAAAGTGGCTCCTGGAGCCTTTTTCAAAAATGTCTGAAAATGAGTGTGAGGGCTATATTTTATTTCTAGTTTCAATGTGGTTTCTGTAGGAGGAAAAACATTCTTAACGTTTTTCAATGCTGCAAAAACTTGTATAAGTAATATTCAATTTTAGCATTTCTGTCAACGTAGTGTGTCATATCCTGTGACGCGGCCCCGTGCCAGGTGGCCGCTGCTGTAAACAAACATTATAGACTGTGTGTGCGCATGGATCCCAAAGATAAAGACAGAGAGTCGATAAGACTGGACTAAGAATGAAAATGAACATTTGCTTTCAGTCAATGAGGAAGGACTGCTTCATGTTTGTAATGAAAAGTTTTGTTGCAACAGGAGGAACAATGAAGCTTTAAACACGTTCACTGAAAGATTCATTCATCATAAAGTCAGAGCACCTATTTTCAGACTTCAAAAACCTT